GGCGGCCGCTGATTGGCCTATTGTAGCCTGCCCCGGGTGATTATGATGATGGAGAATTTGGTGGAATGAAGATTGGCAGGAGAAACCGAAGTACTCAGAGAAAACCCGCCCCAGCGCTATTTGTCCACCACAAATCCCACTTGACCAGACCCGGAATCGAACCCGGACCGCAGTGGTGGGGTGCCAGCGACTAACCGCTTGAGATATGGGGCGGCTTTCTACAAGTAAGTTCAGTTTATCTTAAAATTGCATTTTAGGGTCGTATTTCCTTCTGTTCAGCGAATGGCAATTTTTTGTACCGCCAGTCCTCTGCAATCTCTAGCTACGAGTGCATGCAACTGCTGTCTCACTCACTCCATACGTTGCAAGATCTGAATACATATATCGACTTCGAATTGCCTCTGATGCTGATAGACCATAACTTTCCCAAGTCTTCCACGTGCTTACCCTCCTAGACAAATTACCGTGACCGAATCTCGGATATTAATGTGCACAACACCGGTGGACATAGGCCTATTATGATGAGCACTTGAACATGGAATTAACATTATTTTCATACGTTACAAGCAAAAATGATAAAGTTGCCCTAATTAAGCACTACGCCATGAAAACGTATGAGGGAGTGGATGTATAGATCCACGTATTCTTCACCTCGGAACTAGTAGGTGAGTGATAAGCTTCACACACTGGCCGTTTTACCCTTGGGGAACGAACCCCCGGTTCCCATTGGATAGGAGGCTGGGTAGCCCCAGCACAGGTCTGGACGATGTGGAGAGGAGAAATATCTTGCCCTTACCAGGGATCGAATTCAGACCCCCTCGGCCGTCCAGCCCGTAGCCCGTCACTATATCAACTGTGCTATCCCTGCCCAAAAAAATACTTCAAGGTAGAATAATGAAGAAGTAATATTAAGTGGCCAATTTTAAGAAATGTTTATGTTAGCAGGTACTTGGTAACTTACTTTCTGATTGACAAGTAGATCTAACCACTAAACGAGTTTATGAGAATAACTATGGTTTAAATTTGACTTGCTGTGTAAACGTCTAATCGGTACTTCTGCAGATAAAACCACTCATCCTAGCATGTGGTCATTTGCGGATATGTCCAGAGACATGAAAACTGCAACGCCTTCCGAGAGGGGTGCCTCCACAGCATCTCTGCAAAACTGGGGCGTTATCAAACTATCCCTAGAATATGGCTTCGGTAATGACGACAATGATTCTGCTTTAAAGTGCGGTATACAAATGGAGAAGAACGAAA